CACACACACACACACACACACACACTGCAAACCTGTATATTAGAATCTGTCCAATGGCGATCAGGAGGAAGAGGACAAAGTTGAGTCCCACAAACACGGTGACCGAGTACTCCCACCCAGGCTTCCGTTCTGTTGTCAGGGGCAACCCAACACACATTCCGCTAGTGGAGAAAACAGTCCAGTGCTGGAATGGGGGCAGCAGCGGCAGCACAGCGATGGAAAGGCCGATTAGCTGAGGAGAGGGGACGTTTTAGTTTTAGTAAGTGTTTTTACGGCACTTGCAACACAATAAGGTCATATAAGATTAGAGGTGGTACAAGAGAGTAACAAACAACAAAAAAGAAGGAGGGCAGATAAAGAAAGACGATAGATGTATGTTTGATAGAAAAAAAGAAACAAACCACACCAGAGCATCCGCCAACCACCCACGAGAGGGGACGGGTAACAGTTTGGGGAGGGGGGGATTGTGTGTTTTTTAAAGGATATTTGTTGGGGGGGGGGGTTTAAGTTGGCAACGCCCCCAGCGACACAATTAACATCATTTAGGAGGCGGGCTTCCACCCTGCACCACTGGTGGAGTACACCCTCAAGTGCTGGAAGGGAGGGGGGGCAGCAGCGGGAGAACGGCGATGGACAGGCCGATCAGCTAAAGGAGAGGCTGGTAAAAGTTAAGTATACATCTTTTCGTTTTCCTTATTTATACTCTTGGAGTTTTCACGTCCAGCGGACACAATTAAGATCATTTCAGAGGCGGGCTTCAACATTGCCCGATGGTAGACAATACTGTCCAGTGCTGAACGAGGGCCACAACGGGAGTTACTGTAATGGACAAGCCGACTAACTAAAGGACAGTTGAATTATTATAATATAAAGTGAGTCTTAGGGATTGTTCTTTGAAGTAAGTATTTTTACGCCCTATTTCATATATTTTTATTTTCACGTAGGTGTTTTTACGCTTTATCGACCAGCGTCTGGGGTGCAGAGGTTAGGCACCGCTCAGTCGTACACAGAAAGGGGAAAATATAGCATAAATATACCATGTATCACGGTCTTTCTGCTGGGATGTTGTATCCCTCTCAGCCCGGGTTGGCACTGACAGGCAGGGTCCGAAGCCTGCCTCCTAAATGACCTAAATTGTGTCGATGGTCAGCAAAAACGCCTATAATCTTTAGAAAATATTTAATGTCCCCCTCAACACAATTTGGATCATTAGGAAGGCAGGCTTCGGCCATGCTTGTCGGGGCCAAAATCCCAGCAGAAAGATTGAGATTCGTTCATGCTACAAGCTTAAAAGAGAGGTGTGTGTGTGTGTGTGTGTGTGTGTGTGTGTGTGTGTGTGTGTGTGTGTGTGTGTGTGTGCATATGTGTGTGTGTGTGTGTGTGTGTGTGCGTGCGTGTGTGTCATGTATGTGTGTCTGTGTGTGTATGTGAGTTTGTGATATGATTTGATGCCTTAGTAACACGTGCTTAATTGTGTTTCTCGACCTGGAGCAGGTTTTGAAACTTGATTCAACTATGCAATTCACTATTCATTTTGAGTCATTCACCACTCTTCTGTTTGACTTTATAACATCACTTTAAAGAATAAAAGTCATGAGCCCTATCCAACGGCGGATGTGTAAGGGTGAAAGTAGTACTTCTTTGCTTTTCCTTTTCTGGTTCCGTTTATCTGTCGGCCTTGCTTTTTAACGGAAGTAAACGCCCAGTTTTGTGTCGACGTGCTTCTGCCTTACTCAACAAAGAAGCGAACACACAGACCTACCCACGAGAAACAGCACAAGACGCGAGCGCCGACCGGTGACAGCCGAACTTGTCCGAAGGGGAACTTGATCACCAGAAACCGATCCACAGTGATGAGAAAGACAAAGATGGCCGAGGACTCGCTGAGAACAAAGTATTATGAAAACTGCTGTCAGTTTTGATTATTTCACCTGGCTCACTGTTTTAGATACCATGGGGTATGCGTGGCTAAAAATGTCAAAGTGATGTTATATACGTACAAGTAATTCATGAAGTATAGAAGAGAATGCAAAGTAGAAACAAAGCAAAATTACAAATGGTACAATTTTGTAGTTTGTTGCCTCGGACCTGTGATCTTCAACACCCGTCTGCCCGTCCCTGGACTACGCATCTTGCCGAATACTACGACTGCTATGGAAAAAAGACACCGCAATCCAACAGTGTAATTTTGAGATAACAATTACATGTACTTAAAATGATACTGGGAAAATATTTCATGTTTTGAAATAATGCCTCTTGTATTCTATCTGACACTAAAGTAACTGAATTAGTTTTAGCTGAAGGGTGGCGGAAAAAAGGTCAACGAAAACTCCACAAAATGTTATCATGAATAACTCTTAGTTTAATTCCAATAAGTTTTATGACACTCGCCCCGCAAATTAAATGAAGAAATTTTAGAAGAAAAAACAAAATAGGCTGAAGATTAACAAGTTTTACCCAAGTTATTTTTATGTAGATGTTTTTACGTCCCAATCAATACAGTTTAGATCGTTCACGTGTAGCAGTTAGCCGCTTTGCTGTCACAAGCAAAAGACTAAAGTTCTATTCCCGAGTGGGGAGAAATTTTTGTCGAGAAACTCTGCCTTTCTACTGGGATGCTGGCAGTCAAGTTTGAAAGCCTACCTCTTCTCTCTCTCTCTCTCTCTCTCTCTCTCTCTCTCTCTCTCTCTCTCTCTCTCTCTCTCTCTCTCTCTCTCTCTCTCTCTTTCTCTCTCTCTCTCTCTCTCTCTCTCTCTCCCTCTCTCTCTCTCTCTCTCGCTTTCTTTCTCTCTCTCTCTCATTTCCTCTCCTTCTCTCTCTCTCTCTCGCTCTCTCTCTCCCTCTCTCTCTCTCTCTCTCTCTCTCTCTCTCTCTCTCTCTCTCTCTCTCTCTCTCCCTCTCTCTTGCCCCCCCCCCTTCTCTCTCATGCCCGCCATCTGAATAAAGTAGCAAGAAGGAACTGCAAAAGAGTTGTTAGAGCATCAAAAAAATGAATCCTGGACAAAATATGGAGAACTCCTAAGCGAACTGTCCCATAAATCACCACGTGACTTCTACAGAAGTGTAAAATAACAACAGGCTCTGCCCTGGTCACGCCGGGGTGAACGGAAATGAGCGTGCTGATGAACTTGCCGGCAAAGCAACACCCAATGGCCGAATCATGCTCGACCCACCAATGGTGATCGCCAGATGCAACGAGAGCCTTCACAACCAAGAGGAGACAGACTCCCACACACTCAGCACAATAAAAAGAAAGTGTGTGCGGGGCACAGCGAAAAAAAGTTTGCTCCGAGGAGTGGTCAGGCGTGTCTTAAACCAGCTCCTCATGGAGACAATTAGCAGGAAGACCCTGATGTGGACGCTGGAAAGGAGAGATGAGCAGCTATGGACATGTGCCGCCTGTTGTGATTCTAGCTCTGGATCCAAGTAAATCCAAGTAAATCCAAGGCTCAGAGAAGAACCGTACGACCAAACAGCTACAATTAATGACTAAACAGGAAACCCCATTATCAACAGCTCCAAAATTAAATCTAGAAGGGGGGAATATATCTCAGAACTCTTGAACACTACTCAAAAACAAAAACAAAAAGAATTCCAACCAAGTCACCCTGAGGAAGAAGAAACAACCATCCTACCATCAGAGGTCAGACAAGCAGTTAAAACCAGCCCAAAAAACAGAAGCTCAGGAATAGATGAGCTCACCACGGAGACCATCCTAGCAGGTGGTGAAACTGGAATAACTTGGCTCACAAAAATCTTCCAGAAACCATGGACAGAAAGAAAAGTTCCCGGCGACTGGCAAAAGCGGTCATAGTACCAATCTGGAAGAAGAAAGGCAATAAGAGAGACTGTGGAATGTATAGAGGCATTTCACTGCAAATCCATGTGGGCAAGATGTTCGCCAAGATATTGGAATGGCGAACAAGACACAAAGTTGAACCATTTCTGAGTGAGGTCCAAATGGGATTTAGAAAGGGAAGAGGATGCACCGACGCAATATTTGCCCGACGACAAATGTGCGAAAGGGTAATAGAACACAACAGGGAACTAAATATAGAATTTATCGACCACGAGAAAGCGTTTGACAGAGTGAACAGAAACAAGCTGTGGAAAGAACTCGAAAACTACACTGTAAGAGGCCAACTTTAAGATAACATCCGTGCCATTTACGAGAACAGCATTAAGTACAGTAAGAACGTCAGAGGGACTCACAGAATGGTTCGAGATAACATCCGGAGTAAGACGAGGTTGAGTCCTATCACCACTACTATGTATCATATATGGGTAGAATTACAAAAGAGGCCAACACAGAACCAGACACCCTAAATGAATTACTCTTCACTGATGACCAAAGTCTGGCACACAAAGATGAACGAAGTCTCCAACACCACACCATCAGATTAAACGAAGAATGTAACAACTACGACATGACGATCAACATCAACAAAACAGAGACACTGAAAGTAAACAGAAAACCAGAACCACCCAGGATACACATCAACAACAACAGTCTCCGACAGGTCCAAGAATTTAAGTACCTCGGAAGTATATTCACAGAGGATGAGCGACTGAACAGAGAAATTGAAACACGAGTACAAAAGGCCAATAATGTTAGTTACCAGCTTGCTCCACTAGTGAAAGATCCTAACACCCCCATGACAACAAAACTCAAAATGATCAACACCATATTCATCCCAACTCTCACTTATCAATGCCAATCATGGACAACAAACAAGACATTAGAGTAAAGAATTACAACATATGAAAAGCGATGCCTTAGAAAAGCAGTAAACAAGACAGGGCGAGACAAAATTAGAAACTCAGTAATCCGAGAAATGGTGGGCACAAATGATGTCATGAATCTAACACCAAAGAATCAAATGGTTTGGACACCTCCTACGATTGCCAACACACCATCCAGCACAACGCGCCTACATCCAAAAATTCGATGGCAACAAGGATAGAAGGCGACCGAGAAAGACGTGGATAGATGGAGTCTGGGAAACATTAACCACCCACGGCATCCCCCTGACCCAAGCTCTCCGGCTGGCGACAGAGAGACGTCTCTTTCTTCCCGCGACACCTAAAAGGGTGTAAGCGGCGGATACAAGTAAGTACAAATGTATCACACCTTCCAGGATCTCTCGTCATTCTCTCTCTCTCTCTCTCTCTCTCTCTTCCTTTCCCCATCCATCCCCCTCTCTTTCACTCTCTTCCTTCCTCTCCATATCACTCTCCCTCTCCCCCCTCTCTCTCTATCTCTCTCCATATCTCTCTCACTCTTCCCCCTCTCTCTCAATATTTCTTTCTTTCCACCCCGTCCCCTTTCTCCTCCTCCCTTTCTCCCCCTCCCCTACTTCTCTCTCTCTCTCTCTCTCTCTCTCTCTCTCTCTCTCTCTCTCTCTCTCTCTCATGCACTCTCACCTGGACCATGTAGAGAGAAAGCCAGCCAGCTTACAGGTGTCGCTCATCCTCCAGGATCTCTCCATACCCTCCTCTTCTCTCTCTCTCATTCTCTCTCTCTCTCTCTCTCTCTCTTTCTCTCTCTCTCTCTCCCTGTCACTCTCACCTGGACCATGTTGAGAGAAAGCCAGCCACCTTACAGGTGTCGCTCATCCTCCAGGACCTCTCATGCCACACGTACGTGCCCCGGAACAGCACGTCGGCCACCGCCACGATCATCAGGTAGGCACCCATCAGTAGATCAGCCACACCTGGTAGTTTTTGTTTTAGTTTTAGTTAGAGTTTTACGGCACTTGAAACAAAAATAGTTCACATAAGAGCCGAAAATTAGAGGAGTTTAGTAGTTTTAGTAAGAGTTCTACGACATTAGCAACACAGATAGGTCATAAAAGTACCGTAGATTAGATGCTTTTTAGTTTTAGTTTTATTGAGAGTTTTAAGGCATTTCCAGCACAAAAATTCTCACAAGTGTCGAAGATTAAAGGTATTTAGTAGCTTTAGTAAGAGTTTTACGGCATTTGCAACACAAATAGGTCATATAAATGCCGAAGATTAGATGTGTTACCTGAGAATAAAAAAGAGGAGCGATAAGGACGATAGATACTTGATAGCGAAAAGGAACAAACCACACCAGAGCGCCCGCCAACTTCCCACCCAGACCTGGTTCACAACCAAACACCTTTAAGTATCTCGAGAACAAAAGAAAAGAGGAACCTACTGAGGTTGAAAACAAACAAGGCGTATCCTTTCTGGAGGAAGCCTCTGTCCCACACGGCTCTGTAGACGATGACGACGACATTCCCCAGCAGGGCAGAGAGACCAACAAGCCACAGCAACACCCGGAGGAGCGGCTCTCGCATCAGATCTGAAATGTTTTTGTTTTTGAAGGAGTTTTACGGCACTTGCAACACAATTTAGGTCGCATAAATGCCGTAGATGAGAGGTGTTACAAGGGAGTAACAAACAAATGGAGAAGAGATAAGGACGAAAGATGTTTGATACGAAAGAAGAAGCAAACCACATTAGAGCACCCGCCAACCACCCACATCTGAAATGTTGGATATTTTATTTTAATGGGGGGGGGGGGGGGATGAAAATATCCCTAGATCGTATAGCGCATGGGGGCGTTCCGTTAGCTCAATTGGCATTATGGACTACAGAGCAGATGGCATTGGCTCGAATCCCAGACCTTGTGTTATTGAACTCACGTCGTTTTTGTAGAGTTTTCAAGACTCCCAACCCATGTGGTTCGGTCCTATCGGAGATGGACGTTTGGTTCGTAGGTCCAGTCTCTCAAATAACCTAATAGTGTTGATAGGGGCGTTAAACCCATACACGTACTTACTTACAACAGCTGGTGGTGGTTGGAGGGCCACGCTGGTCAGTCCTACTTTTGTTCTTTCCCTCTTTTGCCTAGAGTACGGGAGAATTTTGTAAGTGTCCCAGGATTAAACGCAAACCTTTTCAGTTTGAGGTTGGGTTTTTTTCGCATAAATAAGCAATGACTGTTACTTAGTTTTGGTTTGATCGATCGATCGAGACAGACAGACAGACAGACAGACAGACAGACAGACAGACAGGCAGGCAGGCAGGCAGGCAGGCAGGCAGGCAGGCAGGCAGGCAGGCAGGCAGGCAGGCAGACAGGCAGGCAGGCAGGCAGGCAGGCAGACAGGCAGGCAGGCAGACAGGCAGGCAGGCAGACAGACAGACAGACAGATAGATAGATAGATAGATAGATAGATAGATAGATAGATAGATAGATAGATAGATAGATAGATAGATAGATAGATAGATAGATAGATAGATAGATAGATAGATAGATAGAGGCAGTTATCGTGCCTAATAACTTTTCGGTTGTTGTTTTTCCTGCATTAAAAGATAGCCATCGTGTCCGTGCGCTTCTTGCTTTTTTGTGCACTAAGTAATCTGATATAATGGAGTTTGTTCTTTTCACATTCCCACTCCAACCTTCAACCATTCAAGGATCAACACGAGAATCAACCATAAATCAGATTTTGTTCACTACAATACTACAATGCATGTAATATTTGCTTACTTTTCAGATACTACCTTTACCAGTTTACTGACCTGTGCAGGATGAGAGAGCATCTTGCTGACTCAGGCATACCTGTGCCGGTACTGATTCTCCTCGAACCTGGAGAATATTTAAAAAATTAAAATTCTAATAATATTTTTACGGCATTTCTAATACAGAGGGGCCATATAAGTGCCAAAGATTAGAGGTGATACTAGAGAGTAGAAGATAAGAAGGGGGAGAAATAAAGACCATTTATGTTTGATAGGAGAGAAGGAGCAAACCACACCAAAGTACTCGCCAATCATCCACGATGAAAGTTATTGGTTATTGCAATTGTAAGTTGTAGAAATTTTCGCGCCTCCCCTCATTTTAGAAATAAGTGTAAAACATCTTCTGTGAAAGGCGTCATGGTGACCCAAATCGCTACCTCAGAATTACTATGGTGCGGACAAAAATTCGTGGCGCATCTTATCCTCAAATACCTTTATAACGGGTTAATCAATGTCACCCATACTTTGCACAGCAGTTTGTCTCAATTTGTCTTAACTTAATCATATTTTTCCTCAACAATTGAGGCTAGACTAAAAAAAACTTTTCTTCATAAATTCATATGAAAATACTACAAACCTTCTTCACGCGGAAAATAAAATTGTTCACAGCACTTCTCGCTTATCACACACACTTTGTTTACCCATATGGGTTACGCCACAGCTCACCAATGACACTTTTTAGAGGCAAAACTAGTAGTTACAAGAAATTAATGTTATAGTATAGTGAACTCTTTTTTACACTAAAGGTTCTCAAAACATGCGTTCAATAAAGATAATCTTGTAAGTAGAAAAAAAAAGTAAAAGCTATATCGTACCTGCTGTAAACTTTTTAAAATCAGTAGAAACCAGCCACTAGGATTTTTTGTTAGTACTTGTTATGGAATTTTCTAGACTAGAGCCTACAGGTCTTTAGAAATATATTGATCTCTTAAGACAAATTGATACACTGTGCAAAAGCTGGAGAGTTTATGTTCAATGGTTGAGGAGATATTTAACAATAAGTTGCGCCACGAATTTTTGACCCCACAATCTATCAGCTCAGTAATTGAGAAATATGACGTCAAAAATGTTGAGTTTCACAACATGTCAAGCTTTTTCGAATGCAGTTCTTTGGAGATCTTGATAGCGACTCCAAAATAACGTTGCGGTTTTGATAGAGCAGATAGAACATTTGGTTTCTGACCTCATGGTCTTAGTAACTCAAAACAGCCAGAAATAGTTCATGTCAGACTAGAACGTAGTAATTCTTAGATAGCAAAATGTAGCCCGACAGAGGGGAGAGAACAGCATGTCCACGGAGGAACAATAAGACCCAGTGTGCAGTGAGAAGAACACGGTCACAAAAGGTTGTGAAAATTACACCAATGCTCATCCTCCCCCCCTTTTCTCTCTCCCTCTTTCCCTCCCTCTCTCTGTCTCTCTCTGTCTCTCTCTCTCTCTCTCTCTCTCTCTCTCTCTCTCTCTCTCTCTCTCTCTCTTTCTCTCTCTCTCTTTGTCTCTGTCTTTCTCTATCTCTCTCTCCCACACACACACACACACACACACACACACACACACAAACAAACACATACATACAGACACACACACACACAACCTTTCTCCATCCCAGTCTTACTCTTTCTCTCTCTCTCTCTCTCTCTCTCTCTCTCTCTCTCTCTCTCTCTCTCTCTTTCTCTTTCTGGCTACTGAAAGAGGGGGTGGGAATAACACAATCAGGGCGATCCAAAACAAAGCCTGTACTACTTTTTTTCTAAATGATCTGGCACAACATTTGTGCCAGAATGTTGTGATTTGGAATTTATATAATTCGTTCAAAAGAAATTTGTTTGACATACAATTCAGAAAGAAGAAACTTATTTTCCAAAACGGGAATGGCGTTTATAAAAACCATCTATAAATGCAAAATACACCATTTTAAAAGATCTTGTAAGGAAATTCAATACAATGATTGGTTTGGGGGGTTTTTTTCCTTTCCTTTTATTTTTTAAATCTAATCTGTCATGTTCTACCAAAGAGTTTAGTCTCACTGGTATTGGTATTACATACTGTAGTGCTGACTGGCATCTCCGCTTCTTTGCTTTGTGTTAGTGTATTCTCATCTAAAGATAAATTTAATGTTTGTTGAAATACATATTTAATTAGATACTTTCCCAATTATTTTAGCGGTTGAACATGCATACAACAACATGAATTCAGGATTTGTTTTCATTCACAACTCAGTGATGCCGCCTCTAGTAGGATTCGTGTGTGATAGATCTATATCTCCAGGCCCTATCTGGTCCCATCTCACTTTGATTACCCTGTCAAACTAGTCAGCCTTCGCCCCTGATCGTTGGGATCTTTTAGCTGTAGGCCTAATGCGCACTAGTGCGTCATGTTACAAAAACGGGGACATAGCTGAAAATGGGTTGTTCTTTTACGCGTTATGTAAAGCAAAACTATTCCGCGGATTTATCTAAAATGAATATAAGACAAATTCGTTTTGACTTCCATGTGTTGTGTACAAATTTGAAACGCAAAACTTCAGTGCAGAGAAAAATATAAAACAAAAAAGTTGTACAGTTGTTGTTTTCCTGATCACCCTGTAAAAAGAATTAAAATAATTTGAAATGAGATGGTCCCGAGTGAAAACATTGGTGACTAGGAGTGAACGAGGTCTTAAAATCAATTGAAAGCGCCACAGCGACGCACATTTGGCCCTACGGAGAGTATGCACACTCGGTCAAGTAAGTTTTGAATGAAGGGCTAACGTGTACATAATCTGAAACAATCCAAAGGCCGTGTACAAACAATAATCTTTTCTCAAAGATAGTAAGACAATCGTCCTCGTTGTCAGCGCCTTTCTGGTACATGTGTATGCTTCCAGCATTTCTCCTAAATAAGATAAATTGTGTCGATGGGGACATAAAACATTAAAAATCATTTCATCTTACCTGAGGGCAACATAGTTTGTAGCTGGGAACATGTAGCGCTCTGAGTGAGTCCAGATCTTTGAAGATGTCTGGTTCTATGTCCTCTAAGTCTATCTCTCTTAAATCGAGCACCTGAGCAAGTATAAGGGGTGACGGGAAAAGGCTTGGCTTACACATATTTTATTGAGAGCTTCCTTGCAGAAAATGAAGGGAAATAAGTCAAATAAGGCAATATTTAAAGAAGCCCAGGCGTGCTCTTCATGAATAAAAAAAAAATTAGGAAAACACAAATGCAGCTTCTTGGACATATAATATGATATAATAAGGGCTTGAACATCAAACTCTCAGAGGCAAAGTTGAAGACAAAGGAGTAAGGGAAATAAAGCACCAATAGATGGATGGCAGGGAAAGTTCAGGATGATATTGTATATTTTTAGAGCACCTGATCTAAAGAATGAATGGCGAACCTTGATCACAGATATCTGTCGCAGACTAGGCGCTTGATGGTGATGATCCGGATAGAGTAATGAGCGGCAAACCACGGCAAACCATGATCGCAAATTCCTGCTTTTTCTTTTTTGTTTTGTTTTTGGTAAGTGTTTTTTCGGCGCTCGAAACTGTACAAGGTTATATGAGCGCACAGGACGTTTTTAGGTTGGTAGGAATTTTGAATTTTGCCCAGGTGGCAGCCGAAGCCTACTCTTATCGGTCTTATGACCATGAAGGGATCTTTAATATGCGCAACTTGCCTTTATCTGAGAAGGCTAGAAGTTCGATCTTATCTACCCTAAGATCAGAGGTGTGGCTGAAAAACAGCAGTTAGAGGAGCCAAGGAGTAGCAGTAGAGAGAGTGCATCAAA